ATCCATAGCGTGCCCAGACCGAGCTATTCAACAGCAAGGTTCTGAGAAAAGGCCCACAATACCCCGGCTCAATTTGGTTTGACCGAGCTAACGGTCGCCGCTCTGACCATGCCGACCGAGCTAACCACAAAGCTCTTTTGGACCGGGCTAACTTCAAGGCCCTTTTACTCAGTCCTTACTGTGGCCCACAGAATGACTCATTACCCAGCTTGGCCCTATTTACATATAAATTACCCTCTCAAAAACAATTATCAAACTGGCAAACCCAATTAATACCAAAATAAAATTATTACACCACCTTAATTTTTATCTACCGATAATATGTTCCAGTCCGATTTGAGATTAGAGAAAAGTCACTGCCATCAAAATATAGGGATGAACTGAATTTTGATGAGCTAAGTTGACAATGACTCAAAATAGATAAAAGGATCCGCCAGAGAAAGCCAATAAAGTCCTCTTAAGTTTCGAAAGTCTGCGAGATTAAAGATGTTTGGTTTCAGTTCTCTAAATTTTTGGAAATTTAGTTTTTTAATTTTTCAATTTTTTTTTATTTTAGTGAATATTTTTAACATTTTAAGTAATTTTTTTACTTTTTTAGATGCACCTTACTTTTTTTTGATTTTTTTGTATAAGTTGTTGACTTTTTGATTTTTTTAGTAACTTTTTGACTTTTAAGTTAAAACAGTCACTTGTCAAACGAAGCAAAATAGAGGGGGTGTTTGGTGGGACTTTTTTGAGCTAACTTATGACTTCTGGCTTTTAAAAAGTTATTTTGGACTGTTTGGTTAAACTTATTTCAAATAGTTTCTGATTCTAACAGCTTATTTTAAGTCAAAAAAGCTGATTCTGAGAAGCTGCTCACCCCTTACTTCTGATTATCGACTTCTGCTATAGACATGTTAATTCACAGTTATACTCTTAGAATTTTTTTTTTCATTTTATTTTTAAAATAGAAAAAGACCTAAATGGACTATAAAATATTATTATTATTTTTTATGAGAAATATAGACAAATAGTGAATAATAAAAAATAAAAGTTAATTAAAAAAGCTACTTCACAGCTTATTTAACAAACATTACTCAACAACTTAAATTTATAATTCAACAGTTACACCAAACAGATTAACAGCTTATGATTAAAGTGATAATATATAATCTGTTAAGTTATAATTTATAATCTGTTTTAACAGTTATGCCAAATAGCACCAGAGTGTTAGCTTTGATTCCATTAATGACGAAAAGTCTTTTAAATTATAAATAAAAAATAATACGTGAAATAGAGCATTACCATTTTAGTATTTCTGCTCGCAAATTATACAATGCTTCCCCATTCAACAATTACTCTTCCTTACTAAATAAATAAAACAATGAACAAAATTTTTTAAAATCCAGAGGAGGAGGATGGAGCATATGGTTCTCTGCTCAATTTTGGGTTGACGAGCACGACTTGGCTAAAAAGGTTGAAAGATTTTGCCACTACATCAACTATGGCTCTATTTGGGAAGGATTATTTAAACTAAAATAGTTAATAAAAATTAAAATAGTTTATAAGATAAGTTGTCACATTCAACTCATAATCATTTCACTTTTTCCCTCACAATAATCAAATCAATTACAAAAAAATAAAAAAATAAAAAATAACTATCTTTTCAAATACAACTTTTTTAATAATCAAAAAGTCAAAAAAAAAAAAAAAAACTAACTATAATAGCTAAGCCTATATTACTCACAAATCTACATTCAATCTCACAAAATTGGTTTAAATAAATTGGGTCTTGTCCTAAATATTAAGACCAAAGCCTTACTCGTACCCAAAGAATCAACAAGGGGTTATCAAACAACAAGATTACATGCAGAATCGATAACATAATTAACTATATAAAATAATTTTAATCATGCATATTTGATTGTGGATCTCATTATAAATGATAGCTTCATTTAGATTACTCCATTTATATTTTATATGACTGACTCTGTATCCGTAGACTTGTCTTGTTTGGTTAAAAAATTGAGCCAATTTTTCAAAAAATGGTGTGTTTGGTTTGGTTTTGAGAGATAAATTTTAAAAAAAAATCTTGGGAAAAGAGTTTAGAAATATTTTTGGTTTGTTTGGTTGTATATTTTGGAAATAGTTTTGGAGTATAGAGTTTGGGATGATTTGATATTTTTATTATAATTGAGTAGATGTGTGTGAGAAAAAAAGTGATTGATTGATGTGTAGGAGAGAGAAAGTGATTTTGAAAAAAAATTTCAAAAAATTTCAAACCAAACAAAATTTTGAAAACTTTTTTCAAAATTTGTGTTTTGAGAGTTAAACAAAAACAAGGCCTAAGTTTGTGTGTGTGTGTGTTTTTAGTCCAAAATTTTACTATTTATTTATTTATTTATTTTTAGATGTACTTAACCTAGATACACTAAAAAAGTATAATATTTATAAAAAAAAAATCTTTAAAAATTCATCAAAAATACAAAAAATAGTATATTTTTATATTCTTGTGTATTTATTGAATATTTAAAATATTTTTTACAAATATTTTACTTTTTAGGTGAATCTAAGTTATGTGTATCTAGAAAGTAAAAAAAATTTACTTAAAATATTAAGAAAATTCACTAAAAAAAAAAAAATTAGTTCCTATTATACCCTAATATAAATTTATTAATAAGGACAATACACATTAAACCCTAATTATTTTTTCTTCTTTTTCTTCTTATGATACACTCAAATCACATTCTTCATATTCAACTCTCTTCATCTTCATCTTCAAGTTTTAATTATTTTCTTTTCATATTTTTCCTCATTCCAAAGCTCCAATCCATCACACTAAAACTTATCATTATCATCAATATCATTATTATATAGATATTTTACTTTTATTTTTTTGGGTGGTTTGATGAATTTTCACAACTAAAAATAACCAAGTTCTCGTCTAACCAAGCATCGACATTGGGGCAAAACGGCGAAACCACGAGCGGAGTAGCCTGTAAAGATGAAACCATTATTGCAGACCTTTTCTTTTCTTCACAAACCCCCCCTCCCAAAGAAAAAAAAGGAAAGTAAAACCTCTTCTTTATACCTACATTTCACCTAACACACATTTTCTCTTTTTCTTTTCAAATATCTTTCTAAATCTCCTAACCAAACATAACGTTAATGATTTTTTTGGTGCAAATAAAATCTGTCATTGTTTATCAAATGTAAGGGGGGATTCTATTTACACCAAAAAAACCATTAAATACTCCCAATTTCTAAGTACACCTTGTTTAATTATTTAAAATTTTATTTTACTCTCATTACACCCTATTATTTTTCTCAAATTACCCTCAAGGTAAAACTAAATAATAAATAAATAATAAACAAACTAAAAAAACTAAATTATTTCAAAAACTTTTCAACACAGAAAATAATTCTCAAATACAAAAGAAAAAAAAATCAAATTTATAAGCACATATGCATTATAAATAGAGAAAAAATCAAACTTTTACATAAGCATTATAAAAACTTTTCAATACAAAAAAAAAAAACACTTTTACATTATAAATTATCCACAAGAATGCTCGTGGAAAAGTAAAAACCAAACTTATAAAGCACATAAGCATCAAGCACTAACAAGAAAGAGTAGTTCTCAAATAATGTACTATTTAAATGACAAAATAACAACAATTCTAATAATATGTTATTGTTAATCTAACTATTGCGTCTTCTAATTTTTGTCAAAAAAATGATATAGAAAATAATTGATGATGCTCTATAAAAATTGTGAAACCCCTTTATATGAATAGTTACCTCCTCTTTGATGGATTGATTCAAAAAACTATTTTGATTATTACTCTCATCCATTATTTGATTTTGTTCAAACTTTCTTACAGGGCTTAGGGTTTCAAAATAATAAAAAATAATGTTATTGATGATGATTGTAAGTTTTGGTAGGGTAGATTGAAATTTTGGAGAGAGGATGATGAAGAAGAAGAAGAAAAAAAAAAAAAAAAAACTTTGATCTCTTGGGGAAGAAGATACAAAAATTTGAATATGAATAACTAATTAAGGTATATCATGAGGAAAAAAATAATTTTAAGATTTAACATGTATTATCTTTATTAATAAATTCATATTAAGATATAATAGGAATTTAAATGGGTGTATGCAGACATATTTTAGGTTCACACAGAATCCTCCAAATGTAAGGAAAGTTAATTCTGGCCCCATGGAAAAGTAAAAACCAAACTTATAAAGCACATAAGCATCAAGCACTAACAAGAAAGAGTAGTTCTCAAATAATGTACTATTTAAATGACAAAATAACAACAATTCTAATAATATGTTATTGTTAATCTAACTACCGGGCCTTCTAATTTTTGTCAAAAAAATGATATAGAAAATAATTGATGGTGCTCTATAAAAATTGTGAAACCCCTTTATATGAATAGTTACCTCCTCTTTGATGGATTGCTTCAAAAAATTATTTTGATTATTACTCTCATCCATTATTTGATTTTGTTCAAACTTTCTTACAGGGCTTAGGGTTTCAAAATAATAAAAAATAATGTTATTGATGATGATTGTGAGTTTTGGTATGGTGGATTGAAATTTTGGAGAGAGGATGAAGAAGAAGAAGAAAAAGAAAAAAAAAAAAACTTTGATTTCTTGGAGAAGAAGATACAAAGATTTGAATATGAATAACTGATTAAGGTGTATCACGAGGAAAAAAATAATTTTAAGGTTTAATATGTATTATCTTTATTAGTAAATTCATATTAAGATATAATAAGAATTTAAATGGGTGTATGGAGACATATTTTAGGTTCACATAGAATCCTCCAAATGTAAGGAAAGTTAATTCTGGCCCCAAAAGCCCAGACTTTGGGCCCAAACAGTTGCAGACGCTTTGGGTTCTTTCTTTTTTCTTGAAAGGCTAAAAGCCCATTTAGGTCAAATAATGCACGTGCATAAAAACGCGTTTACCACGTGACCATCCAGTGTCAACGTCATTATCAACAAACTTTTGGTTGGTTTGGTTGAAACTTGGAAGTTTGAAATTGCAATCTCAAAATTACAGAGAGAGAGAGAGAGAGAGAGAGAACTTGAAATATTTGAATTTAGGGTACAAATTATCCACAGATCGATCATTCGGTTCCACCAGAAAGCCAGCGTTTCTCAATCGATTCGTTTAGTTCTTAATTTTTACGAGGTAAATTTGCTATATCGATTCAAATTTGTCTGCACTATATAATCGATTGTAGAACCTAGTCGTTACTGAATCGTATTATGTCGTTATTGGTATGTTACAATTATTATTGAAATTATCGATTTTTTTTTTAACATGGATTTAGATCTATGAGAACTCAGAACTGTGATTTTTTGTTGTTTATGGTTTTATGAAATGAGGATTCTGGTTATGGATTTGAAGTTTTGAACCAAATATCCGTGAAAGAATTCAGATATGTGCGAATTATGGAATTAAAAGTTTTGGCCTGTCATTGGTTTGGGTTATTTATAATTGAGTACAGATTCCGCTGAAAATGTATTGAATTTCGCTGTTTTCCGATTACCGTTGATTTTGATGGAAATTGGAGGAATCTAGTGACTATTTGGTATGTATGAAAAGAAAAGCTGTTGACAGATAACTAAGAAATGCTGATATAGTGCTGTTACAGCACCATTATGGCCGTTAAACTTATGTTTTCAACAGACCTTGTATATAAGATACTTTTATCATTATTATTTTTTTTTAATATAGAAAAGACTCATATAACTTATGCTGAAACCTTATATCTACATACTTTAAGTGTCTAATCTTCAAGTTCTAGAAGATTTTGGGTTGCTTTCAAGGTTAAATGAACTTTTAGTTCTCTTTTATTTCAATCATTCATTAATTTTGCTCTTTAATCAACAAACTTCCTTTACATTATCACGTGATTATTTACTTGGATCTATTGATTATTAACTTATATCTATTTGGTTTCAGATTAAATTTGTTAGACAAAACTTGGTTTCCTTAATTTTGCTCTTCGATCAACAAACTTCCTTTACATTATCACGTGATTATTTACTTATATCTATTGATTATTAACTTAAATCTATTTGGTTTCAGATTAAATTTGTTAGACAAAACATGGATATCATGTTATGTACTTTTACATTACTACGTTGGCATTTGTATTATGAACTTATGTTTATGAGACTTATCATTTAATATTAACAAGGGGGGAACTTATCCATAAGTAAAATTATTAAAGTAAAAAATATATATATCCAACACAAAAACAAAAAAAAAAAAGAACGAAATTCATAGCTACTTAAAACTAGTGTAAAAAGTAGTACGTATATAGGATCATGTTTTAAAAATTAAAGAAAATCCACCAAAAACTATCCTACTAAATGTGATTCTAAAATAAAAATGTGTATCAGTATCGGTAAGTTATTCCGAATTTTTGTGAACAAATAAAAAATTTATAGCTCCAATTGCCACTAACATTACGCTACGACTGCTACACCCTACAACCGTGTCAAATCCACCGTTATTGGTGGCGCTTAATGTTCCTTAAAACCTTGGAAGGACTTCAAAAGATTCTAAAGGTTTCTCTTCTCTTCTCTTTTTTCCTTCCTTCCTTTCTTTTTTTTTTTTGGGTTTTTTTTTTTGTTTGTTGAAGTTAAACATAGCTTTTGTGAAAAATTATTATTCTCTAACCCATATTAACCCAACATTTTAACTCTTTGAATCGTGTAAACATAGCTTTTGTGAAAAATCATTATTCTCTAACCCATATTAACCCAACATTTTAACTCTTTGAATCGTGGATCTGTTTGGAAGATCACACAATCTATTCCTTTGGATTCTTGGTGAGTTGTAAACCTCAACTATTTTTTTATTCCACCTATAATCTCTACTCTTGTCTTATCAGCCATAAACCTAAGAACCAAAGCCTAGCCCTCTTTTACTAAGTAGCATAGAGACTAAAGTAGGAGAAAATGGGATATCAACACATGGACATACGATATGACACTAATATGCCGACATGCCAATTGTCAAAAAACTGCAGGATATGACACATGAGGGACATGCACAAATTATATAGTTTTTTTATGTTTATTATGTGCCATATATTTGAGTATTTCATTAAAAGATAATTAATAAAAAAATGCAATATAATACCATGGTTTTAAATATCGATTGTTATATATCGTATTGGCCAATATGTAACGGGATTTTGGACTTCCAATACCATTATTTACCGATATATCGGCTGATAAACTTATATTGCCCATTATCAACTGATATATGACCATATCACTGATATGGATACTAATTCTTAAAAGTTTGAATGAGGAGAGATTAATAAGTATAAATCTATATTGTTTTTCTTTCATCATTGTATTTCTAAGTCATTTTGGCCAAACTTATAATGTGTTTCATGTGTGTTAAGCAATGGTCATATGTGTCGCCCAAGTGTCCAAAGCGTGTTCGGATCAAATAAAATATATATATATATATATATATGACACATTTCATTTGGACTTGTGTCTGACGTGTGTCGGGAAATGTTTGATGAGTGTCAATGTCTAACACATTTTTGACACGAACACACCACCTTAGAAGTGTCCATGCTTTGTAGCTCTTTTTCTTGATTGTAGGTGATTTTAATGTGTTCATTAAGGTTTCATCCTACAACGTGGTCTATGGGTGTTATAGAAAGTCTCCTCTACCACTAACTCCTCCATAATCTCCTTGAAAGAGCCAAGTAGTTGGTTGGTGGAATTGGTAAGAAAAGGAAAAATATGGCTTCTTTGTTGGATACCACCTGCTAAAATAAATTATTTCCTCAAGGTGTCATGCTGAAAAAACGAGATTGTCAAAGAATTTCTCTAGGAGCTTCTTTGTATGTGTAATTATAGTTGTAGAGAAACTTCATTGACTGCTTGTCTGCTACTTGCCTCATAGCATAATTCAATTTTATAAAGGCCACATTTCTGCCTTGATAAGAGCATGGATTTTTAACTTACTCCTTGAATGAGTTGATAGATATTGCATAAGCTAATAGAGATTTTTCAAGATTGTTTTGTACTATGGCTTAAGATAATAGATATCTTCACAAAAATGCTAGAGATCTCAAAAGAATTACCAAATGTGAGTATTGTGTAGCATTGCTCATATCTTTAAATAATAAAAACATCAACTGTATCACCCTTGTTCATGAAGCCTAGAATATTTAACTTAGCCTGTGGTTGTTTAGATGGATGCCACATAAGAAGTTCTTGAAAAACTACTTGTTGCTTTTTACAAGTGTGTTTGATAAAAGCACAGGTAGCATACCTGATTCTTTCAAGTAGAGAGTGGGGGTGTTATTAAGAGAAAGCATTAGGAATTGACGTATAGGGCCTGTTTGGTGCAATTTATTGTAAGCTGCAAGCTGATAATCAAAAAGAACAAGGCCAAAACACCCATCCTCCAACTTCTATATAATAATTTTTCTTTTAAAGCTTATTTAAGCTATTTTTGCCTAATAAATTGTAAGCAGATGCTGTCTTAAGATAATAGATATCTTTACAAAAATGCTAGAGATCTCAAAAGAATTACCAAATGTGAGTATTGTGTAGCATTGCTCATATCTTTAAATAATAAAAACATCAACTGTATCACCCTTGTTCATGAAGCCTAGAATATTTAACTTAGCCTGTGGTTGTTTAGATGGATGCCACATAAGAAGTTCTTGAAAAACTACTTGTTGCTGTTTACAAGTGTGTTTGATAAAAGCACAGGTAGCATACTTGATTCTTTCAAGTAGAGAGTGGGGGTGTTATTAAGAGAAAGCATTAGGAATTGACGTATAGCGCCTGTTTGGTGCAATTTATTGTAAGCTGCAAGCTGATAATCAAAAAGAAGAAGCCAAAAACACCCATCCTCCAACTTCTATATAATAATTTTTTTTAAAGCTTATTTAAGCTATTTTTGCCTAATAAATTGTAAGCAGATGCTGTACGAAACAGTTTAGCACAAACTCTAGAATAAAATTTTTAAAAACAGCTCAGATATCCTGCACAAAACAGTCCCCATAATATTGAGATTATTGCACTTTTTAACTAGTTAAAGTTGACTCCATACTCCATAAATGTATTCACATAATGTGGCATGTTTATCGTGCGGTTTCTGGGAATTTAAAACCAATAGGTTTGGTCAATTTGATTCAGTGTTTTGTTTGACTTTCACAACTTGCAAAAGCTTATGATTTTGAACTCAGGGGTTTTTATTTTGAATGCAGAACCTTTGGGAAGATCTTTAGTACAGATTGGCACCATCCATATTCTCGTCATTGTTTTCATTTGATACATTGATCATGAAGTATTTGGAATACACTCCTCTTGATCGGTAATTGTTAAACTTTTTATCTTAAGAAGAAGCATGCTAATACACTTGATTGGGTACAGTCCCTCATGCGGTTTGATCAGTATTATGCTCTTATCATTTTTTTTTTCTTTTAATTTTTTTGTTACTTTCGTTCAGTTTCTTTTGTATAGTAAGTAGTAATTTGTTATGTCATCCAGTATAAATGATTTCTTAAGTCATGTAAATCTTGGAGAGCGTACCGTCAAAGGATGCCTTGAAGCTTACTCCTGTAAGACAACTTCTGATTCGTCTTTTTTCCGTCATCCCCCCCCCTCTTCATTTGTTAAATGTTGAGTTGACACATATTTCGTTTATTTTGTGCTTTTTCCTAGGCAAACATACGGGAAGTGATAAGAAGTTGTCTCTCAGCTTGGAGCATGAGGTAATCCAAATTTATGTAGTTTATTTTATCCATGGAACAAAATTTCAGTTTCTTTCCGTTGGAATAGTTGAAATGTTTTTGTTTTGAGGGGAACTGGAATGAAATACTAGTGAAATATTGATGTTTTAGTATTTATTATTATAAAAAAATAAAAATAAAAAAAAAGACGAAGGAAATATTGATGTTTTAGTGTTTCCATCAAAGCACACTGGAGCATAGTGAAACACACCAAAATAGTGAAAATTGTGTTGATGTGAAGCTAGAATCTTTCATAAATGTTATTTACTATTTTCTTCTTTTCTTTTAATTTTGTTTATTTAATAAGAAAGAAGATATTGTTTGCACCAACCTTTACCCCTTTTGTTGCTTCTTTCATATTTTTGAACATTTTGAAACATTAAAAAATGTTACTATTTCCATCTATGAAGCATGGACACCAACACGCGACACGACACGGACATGCCGACACGTAAATTTTTAAAAAATGAAGGACACGACACGCTGGGAATACGTTCAATATATATAATTAATTTTATTTATTATATATCATAAAATTATTAAAAAAATCATTAAAACTGGTTCCTATAATCAAAATTAATAAACACACATTGTTAAAATTTACAAAATTAATCAACAAAAAAAAATTATATACTCAAAAAAAAAATGAGACACAAAAAAAATTGAGACGGAAACAAAAAAAATTATATACTCAAACCAAAAAAAAAAAAAAAATTATATACTCATAGAGAGAAAAAAGAAAATATAAAATGAAATTAGGGGAAAAAATTAGATATATACCCACAGAGAGAAAAAAGAAAATATAAAATGTTAGGAAAAAAAAATAGAAGAGAGAGAGAGAGAGACGGTAGTCAATCACTCACCATATAAACGAAGAAATAAAATAAAAGAAAAAAAAATGAGACAGAGAGAGTGACTGAGAGAGAGACAGCGACTGAGAAGATCGAAGAAGATCGAAACAAAAGAAGAAGAAGAAGAATGAAGAAGAGCAGCGGTGTACCTTAGATAACGAGCGAGGAGCGACGGACGAGAAGCGACGACGAGTGATCAGGTCTTCTCTCCTTCTCTTCTATTCTCTTCTTTCTTTCTGGCTTTCTCTTCTGTTCTCTTCTTTCGCTCTTTCTTGATTCAGGGCTGATTTTGTTTTATATTTGTGTTTTTACAAATTGACCCAAAGAAGTTTAATAAATTATGAAATGGACCCCAAACGTGTCCCAAAAGTGTCGGAACGTGTCCGGCTGCAAAAAAAAATTAAAAAAATGGGACACTCTCTGTTGCGTGTCGGATACGTGTCCACCGCGTGTTGGACACGTGTCCACCGCGTGTCCGACGCGTGTCTGACACTGGTACAGAGGCTTCGGAGAGGTGTCCGTACTTCATAGATTTCCATGCTAAAAAAGACAACAATATCCAACTGAAATTTTAATCCTTGACTATATCTTTTTAACGTAGCCCACAGAGAGAAAAAAGAAAATATAAAATGAAATTAGGGGGAAAAATTAGATATATACCCACAGAGAGAAAAAAGAAAATATAAAATGAAATTAGGGAAAAAAATAGATATATACCCACAGAGAGAAAAAAGAAAATATAAAATGAAATTAGGGAAAAAAATAGATATATACCCACAGAGAGAAAAAAGAAAATATAAAATGAAATTAGGGAAAAAAATAGATATATACCCACAGAGAGAAAAAAGAAAATATAAAATGAAATTAGGAAAAAAAAATAGAAGAGAGAGAGAGAGAGAGAGACGGTAGTCAATCACTCACCATATAAACGAAGAAATAAAATAAAAGAAAAAAAAATGAGACAAAGTGAGGGTGACTGAGAGAGAGACAGAGACAGAGACAGAGACAGCGACTGAGAAGATCGAAACAAAAGAAGAAGAAGAAGAAGAAGAATGAAGAAGAGCAGCGGTGTACCTTAGATAACGAGCGAGGAGCGACGGACGAGGAGCGACGACCGACGGACGAGAAGCGACGACGAGTGACCAGGTCTTCTCTCCTTCTCTTCTATTCTCTTCTTTCTTTCTGGCTTTCTCTTCTGTTCTCTTCTTTCGCTTCTTTCTTGATTCAGGGCTGATTTTGTTTTATATTTGTGTTTTTACAAATCGACCCAAAGAAGTTTAATAAATCATGAAATGGACCCCAAACGTGTCCCAAAAGTGTCGGAACGTGTCCGGCTGCAAAAAAAAATAAAAAAAATGGGACACTCTCTGTTGCGTGTCGGATACGTGTCCACCGCGTGTCTGACGCGTGTCCGTGTCCGACACGTGTTTGACACTGGTACAGAGGCTTCGGAGAGGTGTCCGTACTTCATAGATTTCCATGCTAAAAAAGACAACAATATCCAACTGAAATTTTAATCCTTGACTATATCTTTGTAACGTAGCCCAGCCCTCTCACATACCCTGATTAAACTTTCCATTTGTAGTTTTATAATTTAAAATTTAGTAGTTATGATCTTTGCATTTTGGATAATCTTCATGACTGGTTTCTTTACTGTGTGCCTTCTTCATTTCTCTCATTTTCATTCTTGTAAAATGGAAAAGTAAGAACAAGGATAAAATTTTATACCCCTCAAACTCAAGAACTATAGCTCTATGGTAATGATAGAATATATAGGAGCTCAATAAATTCAAGTTTATAATTGAACTCTCTCTCTCTCTCACAAAGCTTTTATTATTATTATTTTTTATATAGTGAAGTTTTTTTTTTTTTTTTTTTTGGGGTAACATGCCCTATCCATAGTGGGAAAAATTTGGGAGCAAGTAAAGGTTAAGTGGGTTCTGGGTTCGAAGTGAAGGTCATGAATGCAATCTGTCCGGAACGTGTCCGGCTGCAAAAAAAAATGGGACACTCTCTGTTATGTGTCGGACATGTGTCCACCGCGTGTCCGTGTCCGACACGTGTCTGACACTGGTACGGAGGCTTCGGAGAGGTGTCCGTGCTTCATAGATTTCCATGCTAAAAAGACAACAATATCCAACTGAAATTTTAATCCTTGATTATATCTTTGTAACGTAGCCCAGTCCTCTCACATACCCTGATTAAACTTTCCATTTGTAGTTTTATAATTTAATATTTAGCAGTTATGATCTTTGCATATTGGATAATCTTCATGACTGGTTTCTTTACTGTGTGCCTTCTTCATTCTCTCATTTTCATTCTTGTAAAATGGAAAAGTAAGAACAAGGATAAAATTTTGTACCCCTCAAAATCAAGAACTATAGCTCTATGGTAATGATAGAATATATAGGAGCTCAATAAATTCAAGTTTAGAATTGAACTCTCTCTCTCTCTCTCTCTCTCACAAAGCTTTTATATTATTATTTGTTAGAATTTACCATCACCTACCACCACTACCACCTCACCTACTCTAACCCACTACACCTCTACCACCTCACCTACTCCACTAAACCTAACCCACTACACCACTACCACCTCCACTTCACCTACTCCTTACCTACTACACACTCACCCTCTTCTATATATAGGAATCATGAATCATTGTAATAGAAATCAACATAAATCAATCAATAATACATCATTTTTTTGACTTTATTTTTTATATAGTGAAGTTAATTTTTTTTTTTTTTGGGTAACATGCCCTATCCATAGTGGGAAAAATTTGGGAGCAAGTAAATAGGTTAAGTGGGTTCTGGGTTCGAAGTGAAGGTCATGAATGCAATCTGGGTTTGGTGCAGGGTTGGGTTTTGGTGGAATCTACCCTATCCTGCTCCACTTGTCTTTCCATTTTACAAAAATCCCCCTGCCATGTTGAAGAATTTTCGGAAAACCCTAGTAGAACTTGCTTGATGTCTACCTTTAGTTTGCAGGCGTGAACAACTTGGCACCTGAAAACAGATTAACAAGTGCAGTATATTTCCAATGGCTATTAAATTCACTTCTCATTATTTATTTCTCTAATAGCTATTAAATTTGTCACTTTTTATTGAACATTTTCCCTTTCATTTTCCATTACTATAATTTAATTTTTGTGTTTTATATATATTTTATATATTTCAATCCAGATTCTAGATTATCTTGGAAAATCATCAGACACTGACTCGTCATCACCAGTTGAATATCTGTGTAGCTGCAGATCAAGGTGCTAAATGTAACCTAAGATTGGTCTACAAAGAGTAGCTTGTAATTTATGTTTATTTTAACTCAATTCTTCATTTTGTTCCAGCCGAAAGACGTTGATTTACCTGATTCTTACTCTCTATCACATGTATCCGGATTATGATTTCAGGTAACTCTGTATCTTAAGTTGTATAATAAAATATATAATCTTTTACAAGGTGCTGAAAGAAGGGTTATGGGTAATGCCACTGTTCAGCTTTCACAGCGACATGGCAACCCGCTATATAATCCTCTCTGAATGCCATTGGGAATGTCGTCAAAAGGCTTGACAGACAGTTTGGATTACTGTTGCTCTTGGAGGAGCTGAGAGTTCAAATCTCTCCATTTCCCAATACTTTATCTGAAGTTGGCTAGTATCTTATTAAACTTGTAATACTAATACTTTATGCCACTGCTTTATTTATATGATTTTTTTTTAAATACTTTCCTTATGTCCCATATTACCAATATCTTCACCATATTCCAGTGCAGTGAAAGCTCACCAGTTTTTCATGGAGGAAAGCTGGGACAGTTTTAAGCAGATTTTTGATGCCTACATGTTTGAAGCATCAAAGGTATTGCTGTCTCTTTGCTTTTATGTTGTTTGATTTAGATTTTTTTTTCCAGCTACAGATACAGTTGTGTGTACTGGCACTTTTAAGATCAAGTCGGGCGGGTTAAAAACCTGTCAAGGCCGAGCCTGAGTTGTGCTTTGCACTGCCCAAGCCCGACTTGCAAGCCCAAAGTGTTTAGTCCAAGCTTGACGCAAGCTCAATAAACACAGCTCGGGATAGGCTTGGGTTGCTCACAAATGATTGGGCATTCAGCTTAATGATTATTACTTGTTCTGTCATGTTTATTTATTTTTTGAATAACAACAAAATTTTATTAAAACGGGAAAGAGAGAGAGGACAAGAAGTCCTCTTACAAGGAGAGAAAAAAAGAAGAAGAAAAAGCAAAACCAATCGCAAAACTCTAAACTCTAAGAATGGAAAACAGCAGCCCAATCCCTAGAGATCAAAAACAAAGGGACTCCTTTAAAAGGAGGAGATACAAATGCCCAAAAAGAAGCCAAATATTCAACCCTATCCCACAAAGCCTCTACACTTACTTCCTTGTCTTCAAAAATTCGAACATTTCTCTCCAACCATATAACCCAGAAAATAGCAAAAACAATGCCTAACCACATTGTTTTGGCTTTCTTGGTACTCCCAAACCCGTCAAACCGAATAAGAAGCATATGCATACACTCTCGTGGAGCAACCCACTGCACATCACATAACCTAAAAAGACGCTGCCATAATACTGTAGCCACCGGGCAATGAAGAAAATGATGATCCGCTACCTCCAAATTACTCTTGCACATCACACACCATTGGGGGCATAGAGAGTGATTAGGCCTTCTCCTCTGAAGAACATCATTAGTTGTAACACCCTTTAGAGCCAAAGACTACATGAAAAACTTCACTTTATGAGAGACACCCACTTTCCAAAGTTTTTTATGAAAAGGGAATAAGGGAACCGAGGGATTATCAATAATCTTATCAAAAAAGGATTTGCATGAAAAGACGCCAGAAGAGACAAGATTCCACACCCCACTATCGGAAGACGAAGAAAGAAAAACCCCCTCGAGCACAACCAACAAAGAAGCCAATTCCCCCCGCCTCCCTATCATTCAAGTTTCTAATGAGATCAAAATTCCAAGATATGGGTGCCATAGACGAGCAAGCCACCGACGCTATAGACACATTTGGAGAACGAGCCAACCTGTAAAGAAGGGAAAAAGATCTAGCAAACGAAATAACCCCTAACCAAACATCCTCCCAAAACCGAACATTCTCCCCATTCCCCCACTTTGAATGAAAGACAAGTAGACACGAGGATACAAACGAGAAATGGATTTCCACAGAGAACGACAATTGCATCTATTAACCACATTAGAATCCCTATCATTGGATTGAATTCCATACTTGCTCTTAATAACTGAACACCATAACGACTCCCTTTCAAGAGGAAATCTCCACAACCATTTGCCCAATAAAGCAATATTCCTAGCAACGATGTTTCCTATAGCCAAGCCACCTTTTGCCCTAGAAAGAGAAACAGTCTCCCACCTAACCAAATGAACTCCTTTACCCTCCTCACACCCTTCCCAGAGAAAATCCCTCATCAATTTCTCAATCTTTCTTGCAATGCTAACCGGAACTTTGAAAAGGGACAGGAAATAAATAGGAACATATCCTAATATGGATTGTACCAACGTATACCTCCCTCCCTTAGACAACAAAGCTTGCTTCCATCTCTCCAATCTTTTCTTAATTTTGACAAGAACAGGTTCTAAAAATGACACCAATCTAGGATCTCCTCCCAACGGAAGCCCTAGATATTTGAGGGGAAAGGAATCAATTGAACATCCCAACATGGCCGCCACCCTATGCACATGACTATCGGCCAAATTAATACCCACAACACTGCTTTTGCTAAGATTGACCTTGAGGCCCGACACTATTTCAAAAATTCTTAGAATCTTCAGCAGACTCCCCACCTTACTTTCCTCCTTTGATGAGAAGAAAATAGTATCATCCGCAAATTGTAAGTGAGTCACACCTATCCTATCCCTTCCCACCACAAACCCTTCAATGACACCCTTATCCTTAGCTAAATCAATAATCCTACCCAACACATCAGCAACTAAAATAAACAAAAATGGTGATAAAGAATCACCCTGTCTTAGACCCCTGGATGCTTGGAAAAAATCCCCCGCCTTGCCATTCACAATAATTGCCATATTGCCTGACGACAAGCACCCCCAAATCCATTTCCTCCACCTAACACCAAACCCCTTCCTTTCCAAAACAAAATCCACAAAACCCCAATCAACATGGTCATATGCCTTCTCAAAATCTACATTAAATACAATACCCTCTTTACGTAGTCCCCTATACTCCTCCATAACCTCGTTGGCCACTAAAACTACATCCAAAATCTGTCGACCCTGCACGAATGCACCTTGTGCCGAAGAAATAGTTCCCCCCAGGACAACTCTTAGCCTTCTAGAAAGCACTTTAGCTAAAATCTTATAAAGAGATGTGACCAAGCTAATGGGTCTAAAATCCCTAATCTTGATTGACTTCTCATTCTTGGGAATTAGACAAATGAAGGATGCATTGGTGCACAAATTAACCTGCCCACTCTCAAAAAACTCAGAAAAAACCCTCATAAGATCCTTTTTTACAATTTCCCAACCATCCTGAAATACTACTATTGAAAAACCATCTGGGCCAGGAGTCTTGTCTCTGTCGCACTCAAATACAGCCTGTCTCACCTCATCTTCGTCGAAGGGTCTTTCCAGCCAACTAGCAGACGCTAAATCCACTGGGACCCAATTAATGCCTTCAATCCCTGGACGATCCACACCCCCATCAGAGTATAGATTTGAATAAAAATTAAAAATTTCCTTGACAATAAGCTCCTCCTTACACACAACTTCAGCTGAAGCCACTTCCAAATTCTTGATAAAACTCTTCTTCTGCTTCCCCCGACGCAACTCTATGATAAAATCTAGAGTTTGTATCACTCTCTTTAGCCCATTTCAACTTGGCTCTTTGACCCCAAAAAATTTGCTTCCTAAAAATGATCTCCTCCAACTTCATTCTAGCATTGACCTCCTATACCTTAACGTTTGAGATAAGCCCTCCCCGGCCTCCTTCACATCTAACTCCTCAATCTCCCGAACTAGTTCTGCTTTCATCTCACCTGTATCCCCAAAAACTTCACATTTCCAAATTTGAAGATTTTCCTTGACTCCTCTCAACCTTCGCATAAACTTAAAACCCTCCCACCCATGGACACGAGCATTTTCCCACCATTCCTTAAAGAATGCCTTGAAAGCACGATTTTCCAACCACATATTCTCGAACCTGAATGGGGTTGGACCCCATTTAAAATGACAGCTCTCTAGAATCACAGGACAATGATCTGACACCACTTTGGGCCCTACCTCTTGCCTTACATCCGGAAACAACTCCTCCCACCCCAAAGTATGAAGAAACCTATCCAACCTACAGCACACCCGATTTTCCTGCAGATTAGACCATGTGAATCGCGTATTACTCAGAGGAAGATCAATCAACTCACACTCCCTGATAAAAGAATCAAAGTCCCGCATACTCCTATTTTTGGAAACCCCATTTAATTTTTCGGAAACTTGCCTAACCACATTAAAATCCCTACCCACACACCAATAAGGAGAACAAAGCCCAAATAATCCCACCAGCTCATCCCACCACTCCCGTTGATCCCCCGATCTATTAGGGCCATGCACCCCTGTCAACCACCATTCCTTATTATCCCTATTCCTGAACCTAATAGACAAAGAAAATACCCCAACAACTACCTCACACTCCACTACAACTCTCTCATCCCACATAATCAACACTCCCCTGATCTTCCCCTAGAAGGCAGTACAGCCCATCTCCTAAATCGAGTCCCCCAAACACTTCTAATAAAAACCCTATCACACTCCTCACACTTTGTCTCTTGAAATATAACTATATCTGGTTGTTGAATTTTCAAAACCTCTTTAACTACCGCCCTTTTCCTACGAGACCGTAGTCCTCGAACATTCCAACTAAAGATCTTCATCGTGAACCATCATCACCCCTTACCTCTTTTCCCCGCCCCTCATAATTGATGCCACTTGCAAGGTTTCTTAATTCCCTCAACCCTTTCCTTAACCCCGAACCTCTTTGATTTCCATCCCCCCCAGATGGAATCCCACCCTCTTAGCCCGAGACTTCTTCCCAGTATTCCTGACCAGTGCCAACCCAAGAGTCTCAAGTAACTATGTAAAATGAGGGACATCATCCTCCTCCAAAGGAAAAGACACATATTCATTTCCCTCAACCACCTTTCAGACTCAGAACCATCGTTGCCACTAACAGTGTTCCTTTGAAACCTATGATTAGGAGACTTCTCCCTTGAAAGATCAGTCCTATTAATGTCCATATTATTCAGCTGTGGGTTCAAACTGCCACTGGTAGAGGTCCTATTCTCATGTAACAAAGGCAAATTATCATTCTTGTTAGAAACCTTTCTGGAAGCTTGTAAGAAACAAGGACCCAATACTGAGTCCCCCTCCTCCCCCGCCCCCCTAACTAACACAGAATGAGGACTCTGAATATGAGGATGAAGTGAAGAATTCATGTTGTCCCTGTCAATAGAGTCACCAACATGTTCACAAGAATTGAAGACTGCCTCACCCTCAGATCCCCCAGTGTGCTTAATACAAGAAGAAACTAGTACCTCCTCTTCATGATATAACCTAGTGAGAATCATCAGCCCTCTCCTCCTCTTCAAACTGCCACTGGTAGAGGTCCTATTCTCATGTAACAAAGGCAAATTATCATTCTTGTTAGAAACCTTTCTGGAAGCTTGTAAGAAACAAGGACCCAATACTGAGTCCCCCTCCTCCCCCGCCCCCCTAACTAACACAGAATGAGGACTCTGAATATGAGGATGAAGTGAAGAATTCATGTTGTCCCTGTCAATAGAGTCACCAACTTGTTCCCAAGAATTGAAGACTGCCTCACCCTCAGATCCCCCAGTGTGCTTAATACAAGAAGAAACTAGTACCTCCTCTTCATGATATAACCTAGTGAGATTCAAGTCGAAATCATCAGCCCTCTCCTCCTCCGAATAATCCTCAGCTTCCTCATTCAGACCCAAAGATTCATCAGAACTATCTTGAGAGCCATATTCTGTCATGTTTATAAACCTATTCCTATACCCACAATCTAAAAAATACATTACAACAAAATCACAAAAGAAAATAAACTATTCATAGTCATCAATTATCTTTCTCTTCATAAATAACTATATTCACAAGTTGTAAACGACAAACCACTGGTTTAAGCCAATGGTTAGTGTGAAATCTTATAGATCAAATGATCATATTAGGTCATATTTATTATATGGCTGAGATTTAACTACAAAAGTTAAAGGTACAATAGTAAAAAGTTACAGGTACAACAGCCATACAAAAAATCACTCTAGGATCATTTCATGAAAAATCACTCTAGAGGATCCTTGCTCATAAATGTTTCCATGACGTGGTTCCGTACCTATGTCCAACTTTTGGATACCTACCCCCATATCCTAAGATTTAGGTTTATTTAAGTGTTGTTAGGGATTTAAAGAACCCACGAACGCATAGCAATCATTGGGACCGGCCCAATCGTTTAGGAGAAATTCCAGAGTCCACACACTTGACACTGGGCCCAACATACATTGTTTGGAACTCATACCCATTTAAAAACTTGAGCCCATAAGTGGAGAGCCCATTCAATGTATATTAAGAGCCACTCCTTTTTATTCTTTTCACACATGCTCCAACGAGTGTGACACTTGGACACACACCAACAACTGATTCTCATACCTGAGTCCATGTAACGTTGGTTTGCACCCCTACCTAAGGTACAAAGCCATGTGTTGTTATCATGGCTTATTGTTTGGTACTATTTCCGCTTCCTCTTTTTTCCTGGTTCTTCCTTCCTAATTCAAATTGTAATCTTGTCTGCTGCTTATTTTCTAATTGGTTATTGCATTAACTGCAGAAAAGTGATGGCGGATCCTATGATTCATATGACTTTGTTAGTTATGAAATGCAGAATCTGTTGGTGTCATGATATTTGAGTTTTTATGAATTTATGATCAGCTTCTATACCAAGTACTTTCGAGTCTTTTGTTAAGGTTTCTTTCTTTCCCTTGCTGGAACAGGTTGAGGCAAATGAGGGCAGTCCCCTACTAGACACCTTGTACAGGGCTCTAGATGAGGTGAGCTCACTTTCAAAACAAAGAAAAAAAGATGAAAGAATTCAGAAATATGTATGTAATCTGTACCGTGTGCAATTCATTGATATAATTGAGATGCAGGTTGTGAAGCTAGCGGAGTGTGAAATTTACAGTTACAATCCAGACTCTGATTCAGACCCATTTCTAGAGAAAGGAGCAATGTAATTAAGGTTTATGATATTGTAGCTCCAATTGATAGTCAGGTAACTGCAGTTATAAAGACTGGTTCTCTCTTTTTTTCAGATGGTCATTCACTTTCTTCTTCTACAATAGAAAACTCAAACGTGTTGTGAGCTTCCGTTTCAGCTGTTTGAGGTAACTTTTTCAATATTTTGCGTGTCTCCTTTCAAGATATTAGTGTCGCTCACTTGGTTTCTATGACATAATTTTATTTGACTAAATTCCTCTTTGATGCAGCAATTTGGTGGTTGAGGGTTTTCTTACTGATGGAGTATCTTACGAGGAAGACGGGGAAATATTTGATGACATGGACATGTAAGTCCACCAAACTATGTCTTGTGTTTCAATCAAGTAGGGTCGGCTACGTGAAACTTTTTTCACCATTCTGCTCTGTCAAAGACTACATACTGTTTATACAATGTTTATATCATTGGGACCCCTCACATCCAGATGTAGTTATGTAACAAAGTGTCATTCTTCTTAGGCCTATGTGTATATGATTACGGCATGGTAGATAGGAAAGTAAGGTTTCAAATGCTTGTTGCTCCCTTAGCTTAGCGAGTATGTTGTTTATGGTAATGTACAATAGATGCAATTTAGGCTTGTGATAAATTTAGGGCAATTCAAGAATATGATCATTTCCTTCGCTCTCTATTCTCTGTTCATGTTTCATTTTACAAAGAACAATGTTGCTTCATTTCCTTCAAATCTGCTGCTACTTGTGGTTCAGTCCATAATTTGTTATTATAACCTTTTGAGTTTGCTATGGGCTTTTGTTTATGTCTATACATGTTGGCTTGGTTGTTTTTGGTAAATTTGTTCCTACTTGTAAGATTTATATATACATATATATATATATATATATATTTACACATCTCGTTGAAGGTTTCTAGGCTGGTAGATGAGAAATGCTATTTATTTACCTTGTAATGGAGAGGAGGGAATTGTTATTTTTGTGATGCTGGTTTGTTTTAGATAAATTTTCAGTTATAATAGTTTGAAACCCTATTCGAGTGGATGGTTAGATGTGAAATTTATCTTAAAGCATAGGAGTGTAGTGTGGCCTGTGTCACGGTGAACAAGCAGATTAATGAAAATTTTATCGCTGCATTATCTTCCCTCGTTGCTAGTCACCGCTCAATATTGTAGTCTTCTACGGTAGGCAAATGCACATTTCTTTGGCTTCAGTTTATAAATTGATTATTTTCATTTTTAGAGATTTTTTTTAAAAAAAAATTTAGATTCGCCTCGACTAGACAATCTTGAAACTTAAGAAATATAAAAAAAAAAATAAAAAGAAAAAAAGAAAAAGAAAAATAAAAATGAAGAAAATGTAAAGCAGATAAAGTAATAATCACAAGATATAGAGAGAATTAAGTTTTTCAGGAACTTATATTTGATTTTTCAGGAACCTTTTTGTATAGATCTTTAGGATCTATTTATGTATTTTATTCAATGATTTAACTATACATTTTAGTATAGTTCTCACCCTTTATTTCCTAATCTCTATTTTTTCTTTTGTTTTCTGCTTCACACTACTCTTCATCTTGTTTACTTTACTTTTCTTTTCTGCTTCAAACATGAATAATGAAAATACTATTCCTACTACAAATTCATTTACCATATTAATAGTTAACACTATTACATTTATCACATAGCGTAAAAATGGCTCGTGGTCTGTGGGTGGCTTGAAACCAGCCCGCGGCTTGGAGTGGGCCTAGCCCATTTAGGCCCGTTTAGGTCTGAGTCCAGCCCGAGACCTTGGACCATCATTTTGAAGTCTGACTCGGCCCGCTTAAAGCCCACTCAAGGCTCGGCCCGAGGCCAATTGTCTGTTTTAGTGAAAAATAATAAAATTTTAGTAGAAAAAATTTAAAAAAACAAAAAAAAAATTGTTCAAGTCCGCCCCAAGCCTAAGCCCATGCCTAGGCCCACCGATCCGCTCGAGGCCCGAATACTCCCTGGGCCTGGGCCTAATTTTTCTGGCCCGTGAGCCACCCCGCCCCATCCCAAAATTTGGCGGGAGCCCGTGAGACCCAACATGAGCTGGGCCGGGCCTGGGTGGGCAAGGCCAAATTTACACACCTAAGATTCACATTTATTGTAGTCAGTCACATGTGTCTCAATATATATACATATATATATATATTTCATTTACAAAAATTGGTTTTTTCACCTAATTTATGCATTTTATGTTGTTTCCTTCCTTCTATAGACAATAAAACAAGGTGGTGTTATTTTGATTATGATTCATTAACTTGTAAGATAAGAATGTAATCGGTTCGGTACAGTCACTATTTAGATAAAAAATTTCACATAATCGGTAATGTCAATTATATTATTTTGAGTACCAATACAGACTGTTTTTCTCATCAAACCACACCGAACTGTACCAATTGAAACAGTTCAGCTTGGAGCAGTTTAATCGGTTTAGTATCTTTCAAATTTAAGCTATTTTTTAATATAGTTACTCATTTATGTAAAAATACTGATTTAGCCATTTGTCAACCATTTCAAATATATCTTATCCATCCATTTAATAAATATTTTACAATTTATAGATTAACATAAATACAAACAAAAACTTATAATAAATACTAAGCCTTCAAGAATAGTGAGTTAGGATTAAGATTATATATAATAAGAATATACTAACTTAAGTTATAGGGATGATAGGGTTAATTAATGGAGATTAATAATTTATTATACTTATTAAATTATTAAATTATATATATATATATATATATTAATTATAAATACAATATATGTTGAAACAGTCAATTTCAATTTAGTTTGGTGCATAAAGTGCTTAAACGGATACCAAACAAAAAATTAAAAAAAAAAAATCAAATTAAAAAACCGCACAAACAAATTCTTATTAAAAAATAAACCAAATACGGACGATTTAGTTCGATTCAATCAGTATAATCAAATTTTTTGATTTTTCTGACATCCTTATTGTAAGATGCATCTAGGGCAAAACTAAAAGCAGTTTTGAAATAAGAACAAAACATAGCAATGTGGATCTGTTTTGACTACTGTAGCAATTTGCAACTATATGATTGCAAATTTAATACTCTCGTCTATACATTTTATCTTCTAAGTGACAAATTTTGAGAATGTAATGTGGTTAGGAATGTATTTATTTTGAATTAGTACACACTCCCATCAACATAAATGCCAACCCGCATTCTTGATCTTTAACGTGTTTTTAAATTTGATTCTTAGTCTTCGTATAATATTAATTTGTTCTCTAAACTTTTGAAATTTTGATCAATTTAACTTTTGCCGTCACATTCCGTTTACAATCAAAAGGCACTTGCTGACGTGGTACTAAATTTCATTTAGAATTTTATTTTATCCATCAAATTATACCTTACAAATCAATTAGCCCCCAAATATTTAATATTTAATTAATAATTTTTTTTATCTCAAAAAATGAAATGTTAAATAAAAAAATAACTAAGTATTAGTCCTATTGAGTATTTTTTAGACAGTAAGTGAATTTAAAATTTGTTTCCCCACTCAATTTTGAAATTACTATTAGTTGATAAATTCTATTGGAATTTATTTGGAAAATAAACTAATTACAATTGCACATAAGTGCACACATAAACTAGTCAAGGAATTTTTGACTCAATAAGTTTCTTTAGGATTGACTCGAGATAATTTGAGACTTATATGAAGCACATGTACGAGTATGAGTACTAGTACTGGTATGATATGGATATATTGATTGGGTAAAATTCAAAAAAAGTAGGGTACGAGTACAGCTTAATACGTTTGTAAAAATATATTTACTTTTAATTTAGAATAATACAAAAAATTGATTAAATGGTTTAATTTGTTAAGGTCCAACATACAATTGACATTTAAAGTATTATATTAAATAACTTAATTGTCATTATATTAAATAACTTACAAAAATTTCCCCACTTAAATAACTTAAATGTCATTATATTAAATAACTTACAAATCATAGCTTAAAAGTATACTAAAAAGAATTTTATCTCTATAGTAGAGAAAAATAACATTTCCACTAAAGTATGGATCGGTTTAGGTATATACTAGATATGTCCAGGTACACTAAAAACTAAGGGAAAAAATTTTGAATACGTGTTTTGTGTACCCGATACATATGCATAAGTACCGTACGTTGGTACATATTCTGTACGGGTATGACATGTTTGTCAAAGTACACATGCTTCATAGTCTCAAAATAATTCTAATTGAGAATTTTTTTATTTTTTTATTTTGTTTGAAAAGTATATATTATTTAATTTTTTTTTTAATTATTAAGATAAAAAAATTATTTATTAAATATTTAAATTTATTTTTTTATATTTGGGGGGCTAATTGATTTTTAAGGTATACTTTGGGAGGTAAAATGAAGTTCCAAATGAAGTTTGGTGCTACGTCAACAAGTTCTAATTGATTGTAGACAGAATGTGACGGCAGGAACTAAATTGATCAAAATTTCAAAAATCTAGGGGGCAAATTAATATTATACGAAGTTCGAAGGTCAAACTGAAAAACGAGTGAAAGTTTAGAGGCAAAATGATATTACCTCTATATTTATCTCTATTTTCATCTTCCTAATTCATTTCATCTGCCTAATCTAAGTAAAAACAAAAGAAAAAATTAGGTTGATTGATTCTGAGATATATATATATATATATATATTCTTACAAAATTGTTATACATAAATTGGTTTTTTAACTTAATTTTCTAATCATTGGATACAAAGACATATATTGCATATATATTTATTAATCTAGACTCCTATAATTTACTACTATTATAAAAGTGTGAAGAATTGCCATCTTTTCTACTTTTTGTGTATTCCAAAAATACCCTCTCAAACTTATTATATTAAATATCAACAAAACCACAAACAACATAGACATCTTTCAAAATTCAAACACCTTCAAACATCAAAGAATTGCCATGTTTTCTACTTTTTGTGTATTCCAAAAATACACTCTCAAACTTATTAAATTAAATATCAACAAAACCACAGACATCTTTCAAAATTCAAATACCTTCAAACATCAAACACCTTAAAATAACCAAACTGTGATGACCGAGTACACTTTATGTCTCGTTCTCTTTAGATTATAATTGGGTTTACTTTTTTTATAGTGTAGGGTTTTAATGCGTGGTTTTGTTAACTGTTGGGTCAGTTGTTTTGGTGAACTTGCTTTCAAAATTCTCATTTTTATTTACTTCAATTCCGAGTTTCACTTGCTTTGGGAGGTGCGAGGTTGGATCCAAGGTGTCTAGGGTTGAGTTGCTAAATTTTTTGTCTGGAAGCAGGGCTGCACGTGCGGGGGTAAGAGCTGCACGTGCGGAAGAGGGGCCGCACATGTTGTGAGGAAGGGGACTTTGGGTTTGGCTACTACATTATATGCAGGTGTAAAGGGTAGTGCGGGGAAAAGGCGTCGCACATGCGGGAGTGAGAGTCGCATGTGCGGAGGGGGTTACTGCACTTGCAGGAATGGGTGTCGCACCTACGGGACGGATCTGAGTCTGAAAATCTACCTTTTTCTCTTTTCTTGGGCTGTGTGTATATCACTTTTTGCATACCTCTCTCTCTCTCTCTCTAAAAACCCATTTCTCTTCCTTCTCTCTACATTTACCTACACCAGACAAGATCAAAACCTTGATTTCTTTAAATCCATTGGAGTTTTGACCCAACACCCTTCACTAATTTTGGAGAGCTAAGCGAGGGCTTCGTTGTGTGCGGTGAAGATCGAGTTTCGACATTGTTGGATTTGGGACTTTCA